GTGTGTGTACATTTTTCAAAAAACTGACTTGTTAAGGCCTAATGAAACTATCTTAGAAAAAAGTATTTCGGCAGCCTGTCACACATCCTTAAGCTAAACAAATAAATACAAAATCCTAAACTTTAAAAGTAATTATTTCATAAGGAGCATAATACAGTCCCTATATGAATGTTTGCTAAGTAAAACATGGTCATTTCAATCACAATTTCAAATAAAATTATAACACACTTCTGAATACAACTGACATCTTATAGGATATAAAATAATCATAGTCTATGTTTTAAAATGGGTACATGCTTGTTTTAAAAGTGTTACAAATCTGTAGTATATTTACCCGAACATTATCATATTATTCTACTTTAATTCCACTTGAGCTTACTACCCAGTTTGTTTAAAACACACACACACACACACCTGCAAATAGTAATTACTTAAAAGATATGAGTAGAGTGAGGACAGCAAATGTAGCTTTGTCTGGCATGTCTGAAGCCCTGGGAGGGCCTCCCAACTTCCTCACCCCAAAAGACATTAGCAGAGACCCCAAAGAATCTGTGTAAATTAAAGTAACTCCACACTCAAGTTTGCTAGGACGCACTCGAGTGGGTGCAGTAACTCGTTAGGACTCTGAGCGCCGCTGTTCACCTACCGGGAGAAGCAGTCTCAGCTCGCTCGCGATTATCAGGACTCCAACTGCACAAAGACCCACAGCTCCTACAAACCGGCTCCTGGGCTACCCCAAAACTCACCCCGGCATTTAAGGAGCTCAAGCGACCGAGAATTCCTGCCGCCACCGAAAGAAAAAGGAACCCGCTGAAATACAAAACGTGTCCAGGGAGGATTTGGGGAGAATTCCGTGACCAGGAAACAATGGCCGCTCAAAGGAATCCTTCTGACCACCTCACGCTGGCCCTTCTCAGTTTTTTCCTGTGGATGCCCTGGGAGTCCGGAGCCCGGCAGATCCGCTACTCGGTTCCTGAGGAGTTAGAGAAAGGCTCCTTCGTGGGGAACATCTCCACGGATCTGGGACTGGAGCCCCGGGAGCTGGCGCAGCGCGGAGTCCGCATCGTCTCCAGAGGTAGGACGCAGCTTTTCTCTCTCAACCCGCGGAGCGGCAGCCTGGTCACCGCGGGCAGGGTCGACCGGGAGGAGCTCTGCGCCCAGAGCCCCCGGTGTCTGGTGAACTTTAACATCCTTGTGGAAGACAGGGTCAAACTTTTCGGGATAGAAGTAGAAGTAACTGATGTCAACGATAATGCCCCAAAATTTCAAGCAGAGAATCTAGATGTAAAAATTAACGAAAATGTTGCTCCAGGGATGCGCTTTCCTCTCCCGGAAGCTATTGATCCCGACGTGGGTGTGAACTCCCTACAGAGCTACCAGCTCAGCCCCAACAAGCACTTCTCGCTGGAAGTGCAGACACGCTCCGATGAGGTCCAGTACCCGGAGCTGGTGCTAGAGCGCGCCCTCGATCGGGAGGAAGAGGCTATTCACCACTTGGTTCTGACGGCCACGGATGGGGGGACTCCCCTTCGATCTGGCACTGCCCTCATCACTGTGACTGTCTTCGATACAAATGATAACGCGCCAGTCTTCACCTTGCCTGAATACCGAGTGAATGTTCCAGAGAATTTGCCAGTAGGCACTAGGTTACTAACAGTCACTGCCACCGACAAGGATGAAGGAGCCAATGGAGAAGTGACATATTCATTCCGAAAATTACCTGACACACAGCTGGTGAAATTCCAACTAAACAAAAATACCGGGGAAATAAAAATATCAGAAAAACTAGATTATGAAGAAACGAGCTTCTACAAACTAGAAATACAAGCAGAGGATGGAGGAGCATATCTTGCAACCGCCAAGGTGTTGGTTACAGTAGAAGATGTAAATGACAACAGCCCAGAAGTGACCATCACCTCTCTCTTTAGTCCCGTGGCAGAAGATTCACCTTTGGGAACTGTCATTGCCCTTTTAAACGTGCACGATTTAGACTCTGGACAGAATGGAGCAGTAACTTGTGCCATCTCCGGGCATCTACCATTTAAATTAGAGAAGTCGATTGACAGTTACTACAGGCTGGTGACACACAGAGCCCTTGACAGGGAACAAGTATCCTCTTACAACATCACAGTTACAGCCACAGATGGTGGAAACCCACCTCTATCAACAGAAGCTCACTTCACCCTGCAAGTGGCAGACATCAATGACAATGCACCCACCTTCTCTCACATCTCCTATTTTACCTATGTCCCTGAGAACAACCCCAGGGGTGCCTCCATCTTCTCAGTGACAGCTCTTGATCCAGACAGCAAAGAGAATGCCCAGATCATTTACTCTCTGGCTGAAGATAACATCCAAGGGACACCACTGTCCTCCTATTTATCCATCAACTCAGACACCGGCATCCTATATGCACTCCGATCCTTTGACTATGAGCAGTTTCAACAACTGCAGGTGCAGGTGACTGCCAGTGACAGCGGGAACCCACCCCTCAGCAGCAACGTGTCCTTGACTGTGTTTGTGCTGGACCAGAATGACAATACTCCAGAGATCTTGTATCCTGCTCTCCCCATGGATGGCTCCACTGGGGTAGAGCTGGCGCCCCGCTCCGCAGAGCCTGGCTACCTAGTAACCAAGGTGGTGGCCATTGATAGAGACTCAGGACAGAATGCTTGGCTTTCCTATCGCCTGCTTAAGGCCAGCGAGCCAGGGCTGTTCTCTATAGGTCTGCACACAGGTGAGGTGCGTACAGCAAGGGCCTTGCTAGACAGAGATGTGCTCAAGCAGAGCCTGGTGGTGGCTGTGCAGGACCATGGCCAGCCCCCTCTCTCAGCGACTGTCACACTCACTGTGGCTGTGGCTGACAGCATCCCGGATGTCCTAGCAGACTTAGTCAACCTTGAGCCCCCACAGGACTCTGACACCTCAGGCCTCACACTCTATCTAGTAGTGGCGGTGGCTGTGGTCTCCTGTGTCTTTCTTGCCTTTGTCATCATGCTGCTGGCACTCAAACTTCGACGCTGGCACAAGTCACACCTGACCCAGGCTCCTGGAGAAGGATTGGCTGGCCTGCCAGCCTCGCACTTTGTGGGTGCGGATGGTGTGCGTGCTTTTCTACAGACCTATTCCCATGAAGTCTCACTCACTGCAGACTCAAGAAAGAGTCACGTGATCTTTCCACAGCCCAACTATGCAGACACGCTCATCAGCCAGGAGAGCTGTGAGAAAAAGGATCCTTTGTCTTTATTAGATGATTCGAAGTTTCCAATAGAAGACTCGCCTTTGGTTCCAGTGAGTTCCATTTTTGTTTTTCTCTAAACAGTTATGGTTAATTTCACTTTTAGGTTTGCAGTATGGTGATAGAAATTTTAAATATTTTAAAAATAACTTTCCTCTAAATTTCAATGACTTGCAAGAGGCAAGTAGAATTTGATTATCAATACTTAACCAGAATCAAAACCTTACTGATAAAATTCACTTAGTCCTAATGAAGATCTGTTATCATAAATTATGATTAGCTTTGAAGAACCTTGTATTTATGGGGGGATTGGTACCTGTAGTAAGGCTTGAACTCAAGGCCTTATGCTCTTGCCTGGCATTTTCATTCAAGGATTGCTGGCATGCTACCACTTGAGCCGCACCTTAAATTTTAGGACCTTATTTTTTGTAGTTCCTGAGTACAAAGTTGACAGTTCCTAAAAGAGACTTCCATATAGAGTGTCTGTTGATTTGTATGTTCTTCTGAGTCGACACATACTGAAACTCTGCCTCTGTAGACAACCTGAGCTCTCTTTTGAAGGTGAGTCTGGTAAACATAGGTAATGGTTGGAAACAAATGATAACCCTCACTGGAAACACACCAAGCCCAAGGTTACTCATGGCTGTTTTTCCAGGGAGGAAAATAGGCTTCTCTGGTTGTATTTTGTTTATTATACCTTGTGGTGATAGTTGAAGTTACATATACTTCCTATAAACTTAAATATTTCATTGTCAACAATTCAAAATATGTACTAGCAGCCATACTTGTTAACACTGCATCATCTTTTTGGTTATCTAATTTCATACTACCATGTGAAAAGTAAGCATTTTTATTTGAGTTTCTTTGCTCAATGGGGATTCTAAAGTGTTTATACAAGGTTTAGTTGAGTAGACTTAAGAGTTCTGCTGTCTTTGTCTTTAAATAAAATTAAATCCTCCAATCACTAAAGCTAAAAATCAATATGGACTGGGGAGACAAACTTGTGCATGTTCCCCAAAACAGGAGTGAGTTGTTGGCATGAGTACTTCAGAAGCTCTCACATGTAAAGGAAGGAAAACCTACCTGAAATACTCAAATGAAGAAATTTAGACCCCCAAGTAAACTACAAGTGAAGAGAAAATGCCAATTCTGCAGGAGCTTTAAAAAAAAGGAAAGAAGTACACAAAACTATTTTAGGCAAATCATCAGTGGACTTATCCATGTGAGCATTTGGTTGCATAAAGGTAAGGATGTTTGGTTAGATCATTTGATTTGTTACTAATAGTCCAATAGTGACCTACAGTGTATGAGACCATGATTTGTACATGGCATCAACATTTGGCTAACAAAAGGCATGTGGAAGGTGGCCACACTCTTGAGGATTATTTATGGATAATATTAAACTAGTAAACCATTGAAACTACTATTCTAAATTTCTACCAGAGTCAAATCCTTGTGCATATATCTGAATACGTTGTTTGGAAAAACACATTTAAAAACCAGACTTTTGATTTCATGGCTATTGTAAGCCATTGTAAATAGAATTATTTTAAAAAGCAATACAGAAGATCCTGTATGGAAAAACAAGATCCTGCATGGTTGCATTAACATTCCTATACATAAATGTGGATGAAGACTTATTTACTTTAACTAAATATAGGCTAAGGTTGAAGACAAATGAAGATTTCTCTTCAGTACTTACAGTTTCATAGATAATTACTCTTAAAAGGAACAACAGTGATTTCCTCTGGGTGGAGGATTTGGATAGCAGTGAGCCATGAGATAGAAGATCTGTACAATTTCACTTGCTACTCTTTTTATGCCTTTTTTAAAACTTGAAACACATTTATCTATCCAAAACTAATATAAACATTTGACATATAAGGATGTGTGTCAAAATATACCTGTCAAGATATAGCATAGTAGTTGTGATGGAAAATGTTCCTCCACGAAGGAGTTACTGAGGAGTGACATTCAAATATTTTGGACTATCAATTTATACTTTTTCAAGAAATAAAAGATTACCTAAAGAAAAGCCAGACTGTAGTTCCACATGAAGCCTCTGGGCGCCGCTGTCGGCCAGTGCAGAGCAGGCTTAATGCCTAGGATACCTCAGCCAGTCGCCGAGAATCTCCTGCACAGTCACCAAAGCAAACAGAAGGAAACCCTCTCATACACACAGACTCCGGACTGCACAGACCCCGCACGGCACACTCGTTCCCAGCTCCCAAACTGGGCTGTTCCTTTGTTGGAATGCTCTTCCGCCTCGGTAGACATCAGTCTCCAACCCTGAAGCCAGAGCGAGCAATGGGAGGGAGCTGCGCGCAGGGACAACGCCCCCGCCCCGGCCAGGTACTCCTTCCTTTCCTGCTGTCTTTGTTCTACCCCGGGCTCTGCCAGCCCGTCCGCTACTCCATTCCCGAGGAGCTGCCCCGGGGTTCGGTGGTGGGGAACCTCGCCAAAGATCTGGGGCTCAGCGTCCCAGAAGTGTCTGCTCGCAAGCTGCGAGTCAGCGCCGAGAAGCTGCACTTCAGCGTGGACGCGGGGAGCGGGGACTTGGTGGTGAAGGACCGCATAGACCGCGAGCAGATATGTGGGGAGCGAAGAACGTGTGAGTTGCAGCTGGAAGCCGTGGTGGGAAACCCTTTAAATATCTTCCATCTCGTTGTGATGATTGAGGATATTAATGACAATGCTCCGCAATTCCGTAAAGACGAAATAACCTTAGAAATAAGCGAATCTGTCAGCCCTGGGATGGGAACGATTCTCGAGTCTGCCAAAGATCCGGATATTAATGTGAATTCACTAAGAACATACCAACTAAGTCCTAGTGAGTATTTTTCATTGTTGGTGAAAGACAATCCGGATGGTGGCAAATATCCAGAGTTAGTATTGCAGAAGTTTCTGGACCGAGAAACTCAGGGCAGCCATCATTTAGTGCTGACAGCCTTAGACGGTGGGGACCCGCCTCGAAGCGGTACCACTCAGATTCAAGTCCTGGTGGTGGACGCCAACGATAACCCCCCGCTGTTCAGCCAGGACGTGTACAGAGTCAGCCTTCGGGAGGACGTACGTCCAGGCACCTCTGTCTTAAGGGTAAGGGCAAGTGACCAAGATGAGGGCATCAATGCAGAGTTCACCTACTCCTTCCTTGGTGCGGCTGACAAAGCCACGCACGTGTTCTCCCTGGATTCCAACACAGGAGACATTATAACTCGTCAGCCCTTGGATTTCGAAGAAGTAGAAAGGTATACCATAGACGTGGAAGTAAGGGACAAAGGATCGCTCTCCTCACAGTGTAAAGTAATCATAGAAGTCCTAGATGAAAACGACAACCGCCCAGAAATAATCATCACTTCTCTTTCCGATAAGATTTTGGAGGATTCCCCTCCTGGAATGGTGGTGGCCCTCTTCAAAATACGGGACCGAGATTCTGGGGAAAACGCAGAGGTTGCATGTAGTTTAAGCAACCATAACCCGTTTAAGATTCATTCTTCTTCCAATAATTACTACAAGTTGATGACAGATAGAACCCTGGACCGGGAACAAACCCCAGAGTACAATGTCACCATCACAGCCACGGACAGGGGCAAGCCGCCCCTCTCCTCCAGCGCAGTCATCACTCTGCAGGTTACTGACGTTAACGACAACGCGCCGACTTTCCAACAATCCGCCTACCTCGTCCACATCCCAGAAAACAACCAGCCCGGTGCCTCCATAATCCAAGTCTCAGCGTGGGATCCAGACCTGGGGCCCAACGGCCAAGTGTCCTACTCCATCCTGGCCAGCGACCTGGAGCCAGGCGCGCTGTCGTCCTACGTGTCGGTGAGCGCGCA